CCCCCCCCTCCCCCCCGTAATGTTACGTAAGCGCACGGCACGGACTCCACGCGTTTGCCAGTGCGCTCGCTCCATAGATACGCAGGCCGCCGATTCGCCACCAACTTGGGCACGAACGCAACCGTAGGGAGCGCGCGGTGGGGGAAGAGCCTCGACCGCCGCACGTGACCCCGTGCGCGTGCACGCGCGGCCGTGGGCGGGGGCTCTCCTACCTACTTTGGGTTGAGTGGAGAGCCGCATGGCAGAGCCCTGCCGCATTGAGCCCACCCACCCTGATTGTTTAATTCAGAGTGGCGCGATAATGCACCCAAAGTGTCCCGCCACTGGAGGGTTTTATTGCGCGGCAATTTGGCCGCGATGAAATTCAGCGGCGGGTTTTTTTTTTGTTAATGCGGACGCTTTAGCACCTGAGTAATTAATGGGCGTGTGCCAGATGGAACTTAGCGCTTAACAATGGAATCATTACCCCTCCATACCTCTGTTCGCTAATGCTTTATAGCTGCGGCTGAACAGACTCCGGCGTTTTGCATATTATCTGTGATGTCGCTCGGTTTTTTTTTTGTAATATGCAGCAGAGCTAGGAAATCTGGCTTCTTGGAGTGTGTATTATGCTAATATACATTTACTGGGTTTAGATGCCTTACCTTAATAAAACAATGCAGTCGGCGTTAGTGAATTAAATACATAACCGTTTAGGAGGGGGGGGGGGGCGGGGGATAAAACATTTTAATGACACTCTTCCATTATAAACGTAAAATTGTCGTTACCATCGGCACTGTTGCTGCTTAACATGGAAAGCGTTTTTGGTTTTTTTCCGGCATATACGTCCGTGGGAATCATCGGTTTACATCACCGGACTAAGCGCTGTTTGCGGGTTGCTCGTTTTGTTTTCACGCTCCAGCACATGACTGCTTAATGCATTCGCCTGGCCTCACGGTAAACACGTTCAGGAAAAAAATCAGGCAGACCGGACCTCGAGCCAAACATTTTTTTCATTTAAGTGAATATTTATTTTCTACAGAGAGAGCCTCTGTTGAATCTAAAAAAATTTTTTGAGAGTACGATGCACAGTAGTAAGGCTCTGTGAAGGCTTTAGGAAATCTCTGGGTGCATTTGTACTGAAACGTAGTTGTTAATGCTTGCATACAAACCAAACCTGCATCGCTCACGTTTGCTCAGAGATGGGGGGGGGGGGTTCAATGTGCAGATAATGTTTTTTTTACACAGATACGCATCCCCCATGCAACACAATTAACTTATATATGTTGAAGAGAAACAGATCTGATCTATCCGCTCCCCCAAGTTCAATGCAAAGGAATTTGTTACAGTCCTTGCCTGCAGTTCCCCCGATCAATAAACAATTAGCAGATCCAGCCAGCTGCGTAGGGGCCATGTCAGGAAATACCCAGAGGCAAAAGGTATTTAACCAAGGCCAGCCAGGAAAGCTCCCCCCGCATTACACAAATATATTGTAAAGGCGCAACGTTGCAAGACCAATGATTTGTATCGGCATTCGTTGTTATCTTTGTTTATGTTGTGAATGTCTTGGTCGGCAATATATCGTGTCTTTTTCCTTTTTGTGTTCATATCAAACAGCTTCCTGTGCGTTATTTGTGTATAAAATGATAACGGGAATGGAATCAATCCCCCCCCCCCTCGCATTAGCAATTATGATTGAAAACCGACATGTTTATCAAATGTATTGACGTTGTGTTTGTGCGTGTCTCTTGCTTATTCCCTGAAAAGCGAATGCAATAATTCACATTGATTTAAAAAAACAAAAGCTAGGTAAAATAGATTTGTTTTTAATTGGCAGGCAGGTTTCATTTTCATACCTGATAAAAGGCAATTAACAAAACGTTGTAGTGGCACGATTTCTTGGTTCGATTTTTGAGTACTGCAGGGAAAGACTTGGTCCAATTAATTGAGTGTTGTTGTTCCCTGAAGGGAAAGCGGTTTGCAACAACAAAAAATTACACAAAAATCAGTGAGGCGAATGGATAAATCACATTTGCAAACCGTGCAAACAACTTACACTGCCTGTATCACTATTTGAAAATGTGTCACCCCCGAATACTGCACACGTATATTAAATTGGGTTTTAGATTGCCGAGGGCAATAAATTGGGGTACCACTTTTTGGTCAAAGTGTTTGCATTTTTTGAGAGACTTCATCCTGGTCATGCTTTTATATGTCCCCGTCGGCTTTTAAAATTTGGGGTAAATCAGCGGTGCATTGGTTAGCATCGTGTCTATTGAACCCTATCAGTTGAGTTAAATTGCCATCCATGGCTAGCATAAGCAGCACTGAATGTGATATTGAAGCATGTTATAAGCCCCTTGCCTTGATAACCCCCTCAGTCATGACCATTATGGCGAAGTATGGTGAAACAAAATCCCTACAACTGATACGGTTGTGTCCGTATGTATTTTGAACTTCTTTCGCACGGTACATCGTCGACCGTGCTAATCGGAAGTGCAGCTTTGGGGGTCTTTATTCAGTTATGGATTGACAAAGGGTTTGAATGTATTATTATTATTATTATCATAGCTCCACCTCTGATTAGCACGGTTGGCTACGTACGGTGCGAATTAATTTCGACATACATACATGCCAAACGACAAAAAAACACATTGAAGAGAGAGAGAGAGAGCTCTGCAGGACAACCCCAGAATGTACAAATTAACCTTATAGCGGTACCCCGGGGTACCACAGTATCCCGGTTCTCGCATAATGTCCGTGATGCAGTAATATTTAGTCTGTTGATGGTTGGCGATGCGGCAATCGACTCGTCTCGACGAGCTGTACACGATGCACCACTACAGTGCGTACGAGCGTTCAGGGTTTCAACGGAGTCGTCCTCGCTGCGTTTCGACACCGCGGAGTGTGGCACTGATGTCGGATTGATTGGTACCCCCAGTCGCGGAGTGAAGTACACCCCTGGAGAAAAAAGTGTCCCAGAAATAAAATATTTTAATTGCCTCGGTCATTTTGTATTATTTGGTACCCCGGGGTAGTGCCATAACGATCAAATACTGTCGTAGAATTATGATCGGTACAATTTAAAATGTAACTTTTATTTTTTCAAATTCATATAATTTTGCCAAATCTTTTAAAGTAATACCATCAAAATGAGCAAATTAATAACAGGAATAATTTTTTGAAAGCAAACTAAAGCTGAATAATTGTGATTTTTTTTCATCACCAGTGCTACTGCGGAATGATTGAAGACTCAATTGGGACAGCATATTGAGGCAGATAGTGTGTAAAATGAAATTCAGGACCTCCTCGAGGGAAAGTTTTGTAAACAAGAAGAAGGTTCCATTAATCAACTTGGCAGACTACTTATTTGCAGCATGGCATTATTTCGGATGGTTGTCTTCGGGTTTCCAGTCTGAGCGTTGAACATCTGTCGGGTGCATGACGCAACAATTGTCAAACAAACAAAACCCAGGAACGTAGCGCTTGCTTGAGCATGTGCCTACGTACATGCACGCATGCGTGCACGCGTGCGTTTGTGTGCACACGTATGGACCAGGGTTGTATGGCTAACGCGTGAGCGAAATATCATGCGCATGCGTGGACTGCATAACGCTTTCCGATGTGCGTTTGTTATCGTTTGTTATCAGCAGTATGGAAGTCGGTGGGTAAATGTTAGGGCTAATAGTCCTTGTTGCTCTGGCTTGTCTCCCAAAATTTGGGTGACCATTTGATCAATTTTGTCGATTTGCGATAGGGTAAGTCCTTCATAGCAACATAACTTTCTTCTACAGGTCTGTTCACATCTCAGCTTTATGAGAGTTCTGCCTTCCCCCCACCACCCCTCTGCTCTGTTATGGACGGACTGACGGAGAATGTATAAACCCTTTAGTTAAAAATTGCATAAAAATGCATACGTTACAAGTTGCAGGGATAGAGCTGTTAAGATGAATCATTGGTTCATCGTGGCAGCAGAACTGGGACCACATGCATACGCGGGAGCCAGATGGTTTGTGGGGAACCTTTGGCCGTATTCAAAATTCCCACAAGCTTAACAATTACAGTGTTGGTGGCAGAATATATATGTGTACCTTGTGACTCAGGAGAACGAGTCTAGCTCTGCATGTTTGTGGCTGACTATAATGTTTGCACACAATATGCAGTGCTAATGGTCTCACCTATAATAAGTGACGAACAATGGGCCCTTTCAAATGGTGCCCAATGAAACCAATTTTGTGTTGTCCTAACGTAATGCAATTTTGTGAGTCTCAAATGAATGTTTTTACATTTAAATAATTTTACGTCTACACGTTTGACTATGTTATTCGGGTTTGTTTGCTCTCAAGAGTGCACTAATGAAAACACTTAATATGTGCATGTGCATGTACATTTTCCAAAAAATGTTAATTTCAAACTTTCCCAAGATTTCCCAGTGGTTTCAAGGCACCACAATGTCCAGTGCAATATCCCAACTATGAGTCAGTCAATCACTTTGCCTTCTGCTCTGAAGGAAAATTGCCCAGATCATTTGCCTACTCGAGTATGTGTGTTTTTTTTAAATATACAATTTACCCAGGGCCCTTAACTTATCCAGGAGTGGGGGAAAAAACTGTTCAGTTTGTTTTCTACACAACTGCCAGTGCAAGTCTCTTAATTTGTTTTGCCTCGAATTTTATTTTTTGTGGGTTTGAGCATTGCTGCAACTAGTTTACTGCTCTGCCCCCAGAACCTCGTGACCGGAGTTCAATTCTCGACCAAGTCTCTAAAATCAGTGACGAGTGATATTTGAACCGGTCCTGTCTGCCCCCCCCCAATCCTCCACCTTCATCAAACCTACATTGACCACCATGGTGAAGTATGGTCAAACAACACCAATGCCCGGCAGAGCATGGGGAGACCTTCACCCAGCATATAATTTATAGAGGGCTTGAACTCGTCCCTGCAGTGTATACACATTTGAATATTTGCCACAGGCTCTCTCATCTAAACGTTGGTGCGCCCTGTCCTCTGTCTCGCTGCAGGTGGAGAGGGAGATCGCCATCCTGAAACTCATCGAGCACCCACACGTGTTGAAGCTGTACGATGTCTACGAGAACAAGAAGTACCTGTGAGTGCTGTTCCCGGGATAGATTCTGATTGGTGCGCGTGGGGTAGCCAATCCTGGTCAATGGTCTATTCGACCTGCGAGCATTGCGATTGGCTGGGGAGGTCAAACGGGGGAACGCGAGGGTGGTTATTTAAAATGCATATACTTTTTAAAAAATGATGTTTCAATAGAAGCCTGGCAAAGAACACAAACCGCGACGCAAAGGAAGGGGGTACAGAAACTCCACAGGCCACGAACCGTGTTGTGCACACCTGGGTTTAAAGAAGGAGGGTGGGGGGGGCGGGCTCGCTGCAGAATGTGAGGGCATTTTAAAAAGGTCAACGGCTAGGAGAGCTTAGGGAAGGGGGGGGGGGGTTACAGGACCCCTCCTACCCCCCCTCACCCCATATAAGGGACGGGCGAGGAGAGCATGGGTTCCATTGAAGTTCTCCCGACGTATCGACTGTATTATAATATTTCGATTTAAAGCTTTCGTGACTGCAGGGATTCATCTTCTTGGTTCTTTCGGTAAAGTCACGTAGAAGGGAAATAATAAAGTAATAAAAATGAAACATAATAAAATTAAATTCTCACGACGTTTCGGCCACAACACGAGTGGCCTTCTTCAGGTGAAGAAACAGGTCTATCCAGGAGACAGAGCTTGAATGGACTCTGTCACGCAAGGACCGCGTTACCAGCCCCACCGCTCTGGAGGTGGGGCTGGTAACATGCTAATTCATATGTTAACTCCGCCCACACAGCTTTAAAGACGCGGTCCTTGCTTGACAGTGTTCATTCAAGCTCTGTCTTCTGGACAGACCTGTTTCTTCACCTGAAGAAGGCCACTTGTGTTGTAGCCCAAACGTCGTGAGAATTTTATTATGTTTTATTTTTATTATTTTATTTCCATTCTACGTGACTTTACCGAAAGAACCAAGAAGATGTATTATAATATTCAACCTTTTACGAGCACTCCATATGAGTGCTGGACTCTTACAAGAGTATTGGGGAGGGGGGAGGCAATGCTGAAGTGGGGGCAGGGTCAGCCAAGGGGAGCAGTGGCAGCCGGTGGCTAAAATCTCGTGGGTGGTGCAGCGTGAGTTGGCGCCTGCCCCGTCGGCCCCAATGACTCGCTACACCTCTATGGAGTGGCGTCACCAGCCACCAACCACAACGTCGTGCCATTAAAGTCGAAAGCTGGCTTTAACTCTAGGCCATGCCTCGGTGGTATCACTGTGATACCAAATACTATGGTAGAAATTTTTGAATTGGTTGAATTGTTCAAAAAGTAGGCCACAATTATAAGAAAGTGCGATCAATACTTTGGCAACTAAATCTAAAATATCTATTGATTCCAAGAAGGCATTAATCGAACATTTATGAGTCACATTTTCTTTTCCTGTGATCCTTTCCAATTGCAGTGCTTTCCATAGCATTGTTTTCACACACAAATCACCCATCAACGATCTTCCTGCTCTTTTTGCCTCCACAGTCGCCCATACCTTGAGCGTACGCACACATACCATGATAACTTGTTGACTGATTGGAATGTTACGGCAGGTGACTTTAGCAAGCACCAGTTTTTGGTGAGTCGGGCACACAGAGGTAAATTGTGGAAGAAGCAGCTCCATAATTACCCATCTGCCTTTGTTTTCCCCACTCTGGACTGACATCCAACCACAATCATAATCTTTATTTAGACTTGGAGGAATCCGATGAGCTACAAAGCTCTTTTTCACAGATCTCCAGTATGGGCGTGTCAGCAAGTTACAACAGCAAACATTACAAAAAACGATGGGAGTGCAAAATAGGGAAAACGGTAAGCAAGTCACTAAATATAAATTAATGAAACATTAATTAGTCATATAAGTCCGATGTATAAAGTTTGGGCAAGACAGCAAAAACAACAACCAAACAGTCCCAGACCACACCAAGATAACACCACACAGTAGTCCCTCAATAAAATTGCACATTAATGTTGAACTATCGATACACAGGTAATGATCAAAGTTACAAAAGGTGCCTTGTAGCATCGAGGGTGGGGGCTGCTGAAGAAGACCACCCATTCTATATTCTTAACGTCAAGTCAAAAAATGTTGGCACTATTTCGCACCAGTGGTGTTTTTTTTTCTATTTTCGCCAATTCGGCAAACACCCATAACTATGAGCAATCTTTATAGAGGGCCCACAGATAAAATACAGAGCTGAGTACAATTTAAGTGACGGGCACAAAAGCCTTTCCTCATACACAGAGGGGTGAGAAGTAGAGACGAACGTAGGAAAGCAGGATAGACAACAACAACAACAACAACAAAAATCACATCTTTACTCATTCTCTTCGACGGTTTAACGTGCACTCTAAAGTTTGTTTGTATATGCCCCCCCCCCCCTCCCCCTTCCCCACGTCCGTTTACACACAGAGGGTCACACGGCAGGGTTGGGCTAAAGTAAACTCTCGAGGAGACCAGAAAGCCAGGCAGATGAGCGCGTTCGCAGTTGGCACTGATACGCACGGGCAAGAAAATTCGAAACGCCGGTCCCAATGGCTGCTGCTGATCGCCCTGTCACAGCTCGCCCTCACGGACGCGCGCGGCGTCCATGGCGTGCGGTCGTGTTCACTTAGCTACGGGGTAATGATCACCGCTTTCCCAACGCGACCACGACAAGCCTCAAAGTCCCTTCGCGTGAAACCGGAGCACCGTAGGAGGAGGACAGTCCCGTAATTGGAAATCGAGTAAAGTCTTCATTGCATTTTGCTTGAAAGGATTTGTACTGTTTTGCCCTCTGCCTGCCAAGTATACAATAATTAAAGTCAGCTGGTGGTTGCGTGCGCGTGTGTGTGTGTGTGTGGCGTTTCTTTGTTGTGTTGTCGCTAGCTTTTGATGTTCCTTCTATTTGTACATTAATTTTGCTGCGGCTGAGCACATTGATATATTAACATATTGTAATTTATTTATGCGGAAAGTCACATCAATTTTGGAGAAGGGGGGGGGGAACACAATCATTTTCAAGTTAGCACTATCAGTTAATGTCTTTAAATGCAAAACTGTGAGGCTGTTTTACATTTGTGTTTCACAGATAAAACATGCAAGATGACTCCGTAGCCCAATCCATTTAAAAGTTTGCAATGAATTGAAGGCCCCCTTTTACACGTATCACACAAATGGACGCCTTCACTTGCGAGCAATGAAGAGAACGGCCGTGTGTCGTTGTGAGGAAGCTAAACAGCACAACCCTCTTGCGCAAAATCGTTTAATCTGCAGTTAATTGCTAGTGCCTACATGCAAAAGCATTGCGAATAGGTCAACTCCACTTTGTTTTGGTCGTGGCCGTCTGGAGGGGGGGCGGGGGGAGAGTGGGCGGGGGTGGGATAGGGGAGGTTTTGAGCCCCCCCCAAAAACATTCAGCGCTGTGCAGATTATTAGAGATGCGTGCCCCTTCGCCTTGTACGTGGGCGGCTGACCTCGTTGGGAGCGGGTTGTCCCCCGCTCGCCTTTGCTGCTGCACGCCCGTTGCCCGTTCTTTTTGCGGGGGGGGGGGGGTGGGGGGGTGGTGGTTTCTCTCGCGTCTCTATCTCGCAAAATCGCCGCCCGCAGGCTTTATAGCGTTGCCTGTGCGGGGCCGCGCCTGTTTTTAGCATAACGGGTCATGGGCAAGTCCCTGCGCTGCGGCGCAGCACTTTGCCAACCCATTACCCTTCGCTCACACGCGGCCAGCGTGCCAGGCCAAGCGATGATTACGGAGAGGTGGGGGACAAGCCCCCTCGGAAGCTCTGCAATCGCCCCTGCTCCCAAATGAGAATCTCCGTTATCTCTGCTCTCTCGCGATGCTATCTCGTACGCGGCTACCCGCTCATCAACTTTTACCTCTTCCCATTCGCGCTCTCATCCTGCACTCGCACCTAAAGTGGGAAAAGGAATTTAAGTAGGTGCTGTGAAAAATGCCCATAATCACGCGTGACAGGAAGATTAATGTATTTTGGGGGTAAGGAGGGTTTTTGTTCAGCATTTTTATTTTTTTTATCGTTTTAATTCATGTTGCGCTGCTGCAAGATAACTGAAATGCAGCCTTGGTCTAAAAGGCAGAAGTGAAGTGAGCTGTCATGTGCAACACTTTACCTTCCATGAGTATTACTGGCACCACCATATCTGATTTCACCTTGTTATTGCATATATATGTGTGTACACCCTTACACACACACTGACTCCTGCTTCTTGAATGAACAAGAGCATGTCTGATGCGATGTCATGAACAAAAATATTTCAAAAAAGATGAATATATATGCCCCTTGGGAGAAATATTCAATTATTAATCTTTCATCTGTCCAGCTATTATTCTTGCCCCTTCATTGTGAAATAGCTGTGCCACTCATCTCACGAGATAGAGCGCATATTGCGTCTTCCCGTTCTGCAAATTTGGAGCGAGTGAACAAAAAAAAAGCCTTTATCTCCACGAGGCTCAATGTGCAATATCAGACCTGGGCTGATTTGCTTGCTGTGGCAGTGCCCTAAATTGCCGTCGAGGGGGAGAGGTTGAGTGGGGTTAGTCATTCAGGTCTCGGCCTCATTTCCACGCTTTGCTTTCAAGAAACGACCTCCCTCCCGTCGTGGTTTCTCCCACACTAATTGCGGCACCAGCTGTGTTGTCTCTTGTCAGGTGTGCTGATTTTAGCACGGGAGAGCCCAAGGAGGAGAATCCACCGTGGTGGTGAGAGGGGTGAGGACGGGGCGGGCGGCGGGGGGGGGGGGGGTTTCGGGGAGTGAGTTAGGTGTTGATTGGACGGCATGTAATGGCACACTGGTGTGCAATTATATGGAGAATAACGAGACGCACGTTGGAAAATGGGACCGAAAAACAGTTTGTACACACTCGGCCGCTCGGTAGAGCCACTTGCACAAATTGGCTTTTTTGTTTTTTGTTTGTTCCGCTGCCATGTTTTCGGCGTGACGTCTGAAACATGGGTCGCCGCGGTGGCGAGATGTTGACTACCTCGCCTGGTATACAGGAAGCCGTGGGTTCGA